ACAACCGTTGCAATTCCAGAGATCACAGGCATCGTCTAGGAAACTGTACACGATACGCACTTCCGAGTGCGCAATTTCCTACTAATGTAATAACCGCCGCTTCAATTGGCGAACTCTCGTTTCCCCGTTGTTATCAGAGAAACGTGTGAATTTAATAGGTACGGAATGTCAATTGGCATAATTATGAACGCTTAACATGTTGGCAATCCGATATTGTACGCTTCAAAATCAAAGCTGACGCGGATGCGAAGTCTCGCCGAGCTTAATATTTCAGTGGATCGGCCACTCATTAACCAAGTCGGTCAACTTTACAAAAAATAGAGAAAAGTGATGCGGTAGTGTACATTGATTCTGGAAATTCCTCTTTAACTGGGAGAACAAGTAAACATTGTTATTGTAACAGCTACGGTTTCATCCATTGAACATGTAAGTGTATAAAATGGTGCACCCTTGTAGCAACCTTTATTATCATTACAATTTTTGCGTGAAAGGATTCTTGTTATATCATGTAACTGAGCCCGATAACAAAGAAGTTTATGTCAAATAGAAAATGTTAAAAGGCAACCAAACGCATTAACGTTAAAACATTTGAAAACTCGAAAACCGGAGTTGACCGATTGGATCAATAAGCAGCTCGGTTACGAAAAACAACGATCATCGATAAAATTACAAAACAAAACGTTCAGATGAATCGCGTATTTTCAAAGGTGCGATAAAAGGCAATACGATAAACACTGTAATCTGTGTCACATTCGCGCAGATCTGCGCGCGATATAGGATTTAACATTTCGCTGAGTCGGTGTAAATGTTTACTTACGAAATGATGTTTCGCTGCTATTGAAAATAGAATCTTCTTACGGTAGGAAGCAACTTCATTTTGGTACTGATTCGATAATTACCTAGTAACAATTGTCTAACGCGAATCTTGATCCGAGAACAGGCAGCTAAAATTTAGTTTTGATTTTAGCAGAAAGCTAAAACGATCCTTAGAGGTATTATCAACGACTGAGGTAAAGATTGATTTTTGGACCGTGTATGAGACAGCAAAATTCAGTAATCTTGCGATTGAAGAAAACGTCGAACGTAATATCAAAGAATCAGGAAAAAAGCGCGGCAAGAAAGACGTTGAGACTCGAACTCGATGAAAAGGTGAAGCGGTTAAATGAAAGAAAATTACCTGATAGGACGATTAAAACGTCGACAAGAAGCACCCAGCGTATGGTATTTTTGCAGACATTCATGATCTTTTCGGAGACGGTACGCGACGTGATTCCCTCTTGATTGTCCAGCACCTCTTCAAGGGTCGCTGTACTGCAGCGATTCGTCAGTTGCTCCGTTGATCTCTGTAAAAGCGGCAAAAACTGAATTCATTCGAAGGAAATGTCGGGTCAGTTAATAAATTACATCTGCACGGCGAATACTGTTGCAAAACTCATGAGTTTATAGACAACACTAAAGCGCAGATGCATTAGTAAGTGATATACGACATTTTTTTCTCGACAGCAATTTGCAGAAGTACTTACACTTCTAACTTTATCTCATTTTATTGCTATCGCAAATTAATTGGACCTACAACTGGTAATATTAGATGCATCTATACGTATATACGTCGCAAAACTCGCTATCAGAAAAAAGTGTCGCAAGTTTGTTGCTGATGTATCTGCGCCTTTAAAGAAAGCGAAGTCACGCGAAGTTATGCTTTCTACATTAATAGATTCAGCAGATTAGGAGTCAACTGCAGTGGTAATGAATTTCTTTCCAAGAAAGTATTTC